GGGGGCCGTATGCTATACTTCCCTTCGGAGGGATATCCCCTTGTGAACCTCCATTCTCTGCCGTTATCTCTACTGATGCCCCTCGTCTCTCTGGCTCTCGCCGCTCTGCATCCATAGTCTTTTGGGGCATGCTCTGAGCGAATATAGTACAGCGCAGAGTATAATCGATACACGGGAGATTCTGCGAGTGGGAGGAGCAGAGATGCGGAGAAACGTGGGGCATCGATAGAGATAACGGCAGAGGGCGGAGGTTTGCTGCAGGATATCTTCCGCTGGAGGGGAAGTATAGCATACGGCCCCAGGTCTGATATTATCACAGCAGTGCTGGGTACTCTGACGGAGCAATCAACACGTCTTTTGTTTCAATAATCCAAAAAACACTTTCTAAAATCGAAATAATCAAGCATAATACTCAATATCCATAAACCTACTTTACAAACGAGTAAAATGAGATGATTATTACATAATGATCTAGATACTACAAAGAATAACACTATAACGCTGTTATAACAGTTATTGTGAACTTAACATCGAATTTTTGCTAGATTTCAGACACGAAAAGTGATTAGATAATCTATGGCAAAATCGAGAGTCAAATAAAATTTGCTAGCACATAAAATTGCGCCCATACTTCGCGACACTAGCGATGCAGTCCCGAAGACCGCGCTCCGCCGCTAATCTTTGGACCACTGCAACTACTAGCTCAACTGCATTCAGGAATAACAATTGAACGGTTCAGCAATTAGCAACGGGGCGGCGGTTGGTCGCAATCACGGGCAACGGAATCGCGAGTGATGAAATATGAATGCTAGATAAGGAGTGAATGAATGCAGCTCATAACACCAGGCGATGATTTAAGCATTAGAATAACACCCTTAGTCGACGTGAAAGCCGTATTTTTACATTTTACCCTGTACCGACTGTACAGTGCTATTTACCAAGGCTGTACAGAACGCAATAGCCCAAGAACCAGGACACAAGCTAGAATTGGCCCTTGACATGCAAAAATTTAAAGAACTAGATTCAGAAATGACAGCGATTGAGGATAGCCATTTATCCCTAGAATGACCAGGAAGTTCTTAATAATATTTAACAGAGAAAGATCAGGTTTTTCCCAAAAACATTAACGGTTGTCGTTAGGTGAACTTCCGAATTTACATGCAAGCTTTGTGATAATTAACCCGTACGGCTTCGGCTAAGAGTCCCAAGAAAAATTAACGAACTCAACAAAAAAAACAAAAATAGA